AATCCCTTTCTTCTAATATTAGCATTGCCTACTCGATAGTCCCAAGACAAACGAGCAATGCTCCATAGATACCTATGATCGAAAACCAGTAACCTACAAATATCTTCTACTCTTATCCATATAGTAGGATGGAGCGAACTTAGTGAGACGCCGAAATTTGTGTCTATGTTATAAGGTGGTGAACATTGTTGAGTTTCATTAAAATCATTAATTAATCAATGTTCGAAGACCATTAGAAAGCCTAAAAGCACCTACAAGGCTATTTTATCCTAGTGTGGAACTAATTAGCAACATATATCCACGAGTCCGGCATGCGGGAATCAAACCCGGGACCTTATATCGCGCATGGGAACGATTAAAGAGGTTGAACTTTACTGCCTACACCCGACAGGTTTGATCGCTACTGGTCACAGCTTCGATTCCTGCAAACACGTGTGGTGGATGCGCATTGCTGAAGAGTCACCAAACTAGGATGAATGTACATCATTGGCCAAGAAATGGATTCATTTTCTAAGCAGAATTGATGCCTACATATATGCGTATAAATGAGTATTGATGTAAATGATACGAGAGCTCGACTGGCTTTTGTCAATCAGCGTCATTTATGGCGTAGGCGAGATATCCGTTCGCTAACCAAAGGACGGGTGAACTGCGTAGCAGTTCGATCAGTTCTCATATATGGCTGTGAAACACGGCCGTTAGGAGTAGAAGATGTTTGTAGGTTACTAGTATTCAATCATAAGTGTCTTCGAAGCATTGCTCGTATATCGTGCGACAATCGAGTAAGCAATGCTATCGTTAGGAAACGAGTACTAGGTAACGATGGCAGATCAATAGATGAAGTATTGAAACTTCATCAGTTGAGGTGGTTGGGACATGTGTTACGTATGACTAACCACCGAGCGCCGAGACGAGCTATTTTTTGTGGTGTAGGAGTAGATTGGAAGAAAGTTATCGGAGACCAAACCAAAACATGGCAGACATCTATGAAGTCACAGACAAGTGGACTGAGTCATGTTGGTAGATGTAGACTACCTGGTTGGGGTCCGCGAGACGAAAGTCACCAATGGTTAGAGACCTTGAACGACATGGCTCAGAATCGTTTGCAATGGCACAAGTGCATACATTCGTTGTGTTCTCTCAAATCCTAATCTTCTGGATTCGTCAGCACCTCTACCATTGTCTTTCTACTCTTATCTCATTGAATTATACTTCTTGAATAATATATCTTCAAACCCTAGTCTTCTTCATTACCATTAATACCTCTACACTATCTCCATCACTATGGGATTTGATTTGACATTTGCGTCTCTGTGCTAATAATGTGGTATGGCAACATGAACGGATGTACACAGACGTACGAAGTTCTACGTTGCAACTGACTGACTAACTGACTGATGTAAATGATTCGATAGCCAAATAGACTCTCAAGGATATCACACAGAAAAAAAAGAACTAAAATGAATTATTGAACTATGTAAATTCATCAGTTCACTGAAATAACTAAATCAAACAGCTGAAAAATATGCCCGAGTAGCATAGACAGATAGAGAAACTATTACTGGGGAGATTTTTTTAAAAAAAATTTCCTATCAATGTATCGATCAAAAAAATTAGGATACACAATGAGTTTATACAAAAAAAAGGAGAAACATGGTAATTTATGCCAAAATCTTGTCTTTTTTTTTAGAAAAAAATCCGAACAGAATGATAAACATGTGGTTAAGTCTAATTCCCAGACATTAAATCAGATAACTGGAATAAAAATCCGAAAGATTTTTTGTTAAATGTAAGTGAAGCAGCAAATAAGATTCACATATGAGATTTTAAAAGATTTCAAGGTATTTGAAAAAGTGTCATAAAAGACTGCAACCTGTTACACTCGTCAATTGATATGTTTGAAACTATTAGAAGCCCACCGTAGTCAGTAAACGAGAGCGAAGACAAGTGATCCAGTGACACGATAGGATACTACTCTAATCCAAGCATCCTAAGGCCCCACTAAGTAGAGGAAGAAGTCTTGATATGGCGTAGGAAGTGTATTCTACAAGCACCCGGAAAATTGGAGGTTCACAAGCACACAAATCGAGTTTATTTATACGTGACAGAAACGTCCTTGGGAGAGCCACAAAAATAGAGTGCTAAAATAATATATCAACCAATAATAGTCAAGGATTTTCCGGGTGGGAAATGTAATCTCAAGGTCAACCGGTGAGCCCATGCACGAAAACATAAAATCCAAATTTAGGACCTTTATCAAGTGAGTTTTGGGGATCTAACGTCCCCAACACAACCTTTATTTCTCTCTTACACACACACACACACTGAGGTATTAGCTAGTTAACTATAATGTTTCAAAATGAAACTAGCCAACCTGATCAATGAAAACAACTTGAATCAGATAAAAATTTTGGCAAAAAATTGTGAACTGAATACTTTTTAATGTAGCACAGCTTGATAGCATTTTAAGCTTTTACATAAAATGTAATATTAGGTATTTAGAAAATGTATTAAATGATCGTTCAGAAGTAGTAGTACAGGGTCATAGTATTTATATAAATTCCCTGTCGATTGAAAAGGGTAGTGTTTTACACTGGTTTTCAGACACTGTCCACGTGTTAGCACTATAATCTGAACAGTACAGTTCGATCCTAAGGCGTAACCACCACAATGGTAACTGAAACCCTGATGAAACATTCACACCATTAATATACATCAATATAGTGATTATTTCCGATCCATGATCCCGTCATCAATCAATAAGCGTAGTAGGAACAGGCTAATTTGACCGATTCGGCTTATATGACTGCCACAAACTCATTATTATCAGTAAAGGTGATATGCAATACAACGTGTGGCAGTCATCATAGCTGTTATCTTGACGTGGTATTCGGGCTTGCCTATCGTGATGACCCGATCGAGCTGTATTGCCTCGAACATATGTTTCTGTACGCTCTACCATGACAAGCAGGTCCATTAGAGAACGATGAGACTAAAACCAGCCACTCAAGATCAGAGGGTAAAGTCGTACTGCTGACTGACTGTGGAGGGGTGTGATAGCAGTAAGTTGTTTCCCTCGGAAAACCGGCATCTACAGCGATGCTGCCTTCTCACAAGAAACGGAGGGGTTAGAAAAGGTCAGCGGAGCAAACACTTCAAAAACTTCTCATAAAAAGGCCATGCGTGACCAGCCTCAAGCATTCGTCCCTTAGGCTCTGCGGTCACGCTACCAGGTCTCTAAGACCGATACTAATCTACCTTCCTTTCCAGGTTACTCAAGAAACACCCTTCAACGGTGTGAGCAGCCGGGAAGTGACATCCACCCTCATACCCTTAATAGCACGTAATAGCGTCCTATTGACAATAGTCCTCGGGAATGTTACAAGACATCCATCATCAGTATCAATGAAATAGGGTCACCCTGCTAACCAATTTTATAAATGGACTATTTTCCATGTAAAAACTAATTTGATTTTTTGAGTTAATTCAATTAAAATAATTCTACATTACTACAATGTATTAGCGAAATAATTGTGTCGAATATCACTTATATAACTTTTTGTTAAAAAGATAGTATAGTTAAAGCCGAATATATTATATAATCAAAGGTTAGTTTTGATTAGATTTTTTTTTAGAAAATTAAAAACATTTATTAAAACATGGATTCTGCACGAAGTACAATATGTGTGTTTTATGAGATCAGATACCAAAGAAAAGGTTTGAATAACGTTGTTTCAACTCCACCTAGAGACGTTCTAGGCTTATTATCAATCTCAAACCCAAATACAGCAAGAAGGGTTGGGGCATGGGATTAGAGAGCCTATCCTATGGAAGATTAACTTACCGAAAAAACCCTAACCAGTAAGTAATTATTGTTTGAGACGGTACTTATTTCTAACAAAATTACTGAATTTTAAGATGGTAGTTTTACCTTGAACAAATAAATGAGTCATTGTTAGATCGCTATTAGAAAGTTGACAGCACTGGACAACCGTTTCGTCCTGGTATGGGACACATCGACAGTGCCCATTCACGACTTCTGCTACCCGTAGGATTCGAACCTAGTGTCTCCGGTCTTCCACGCCAACGTTTGAACTCTAGATCATTGAGCCAGTATCCAACGGTGTTAATGTTTGACTCTGATCAATCTAAGGATTTTCACGCAACTTCAGCCATTTGCCTTCGTTAATTACAGCCTACACCCAACACGATTGAATTCCACTGGTCACGTCTTTCTCACTAGAACTCCAAGAAGCTAACAAAGCTAGTCATCAGTGTGCACACGTTTTGGTTTTGCATCAAAGCATTATGGAGATTGTTGTTTTCACAGATGGAAATCATAAACGAATCATTGTTCAACCACTAATAGTTTTTATACATTTGAAATCATCAATTAATCATTGTTATACCACCATTAGAAACCTGGAAGCACTGGACGGCTATTTCGTCCTGGTACGGGACTCATCAGCAGTGTGTAAAAACACAAAATTCCAAAACCCTGCCCGAAAATATCGTAACAGTGCTCACTAGTAACTAGGTTCGTGGGGAAATTCTCGGAGTTCTAGTTGAGAAGACGTGACCACCAATGGAGTTTAACCCTGTCGGGTCCAGTCAATAACTACCAAAGACAAATGGGTGAGGTCGCGAAAAATCCCTAGATCAGTCAGAGTTGGGCATTAACACCGATGGATACCGGCCCAATGGTTCGATGGTTAGGCGTTCGCACACAAGACCGAAGGTCCTGGGTTCGAATCCTGCGAGGTGCAGGCGTCGTGGATGCGCACTGCTGGTGAGTCTCATATCAGGACGAAACGGCCGTCTTTGAGTGCTTCCAGGTTTCGAATGGTGCTCTAACAATAATTGATTGATGATTTCAAATGTGTAAAAACACAAATTTCTCCAAAACTCTGTCCACCTAATAGTTTGTCTTCAAACAATAATAATAATAGCGAAGGAATATTTTGGGCAATTTTCAACAAAACTCATTCAACAAAACTTACATCAATAAATTGATGACAATATAATGTTTGCTTGTCTTTGCACATATTACGAAATGCTGTAATGATAACAGGGAATTCATTGCATTGAATTAAATCTTTGTAATGTAAACGGACCAATGAAAGACATACACGAAATAATACTTTATCCCCTTCGTAGAATAAACAATCGAATACACGAATTGTAGTCTATATAGTGTAGACGAGAAAAAAATGTAGAAGAACAAGAAGAAATGAACATGTAGTCAACAGAAAGCAATGATAAATGTTACTACCTATACAGCTTATCTATTCAGCTAGTCGGTCAGCTACAATATAGGACAAACCGTCGCTACTACCTTGACATGGTGATCGAGCTTGCCCAATGTTTGATGACCCGATCGGCCTAAATAGGCTGAGATATGTGTTCCTGTAGGTCCTACCGTTTTTCAGTAGAACAATGAAAGCTCCACAACCAAAACAACCAGCTCAGAGAACGAAACACCACCACAATCACCCACCTGAGCTATAAGTTTTCTCCACCATCTCATGTCCTACCGTGCCATGCAGGTCGATTGGAGAACGGTGGAACTAAAAGCAGCAACTCAAGGTTTGAGGGCGAAGTTAAATTGCTGACTGGCTGTAGAGGGGTGTGACAGCAGTAAGGTGTTTCCCTCGAACAATCACTAACTGCAGCGATGTTGCTTTTTGACAAAGCAAAGACCTTCATTAATCTAACTTCCTTTTCAGGTTCCTCAAGAAACACCCTTCGACGGTGTACAGCCAGGAAGTGACATCCGGTAACGGTACACGTGTTAAAACTAATCACAAATTATCTAAAAGGAATAATGAGATCTGCTTGAGGGGTGAGATTGCAGTAAGATGTTTCCCTCGGACAACCAGAATCTACAGCGATTCTGCCTTCTCACAAGGAAGGATAGGGTTAGAAAAAGTCGACCCTAAAAACGTCACACCTCACCCTACCACACGGATTTTCGTCTCCAGCGGTAAAGGCCGTTTCTGATGAAAGGCTGTGCGTGACCGGTCTGAAGCAGTTTTCCCTTGAGCCCTGCGGTTACGCCCTTAGGTCTCTAAGGCCTACGTTAATCCAACTTGCTTTTCAGGTTTCTCAAGAAATACCTTTCTACAGTGTTGGCAGCTGGGAAGTGACATCCGCCCTCATTACCATAACAGCTCACGAGACCGAATAAGTCACAGTCGATAGAATTCAGTCAACACTAAGTAAATATGACATAAATTATTACTGATTCGCCAATCTGTTATAAACTGTTAATGGCAAATTGATTCAATGAAATGAAAAATGCAAATGCTATTACACTGCTATTCATATGTGTGTTTTCAAGTTGGAATTGTGTTTTTTACAGCCCGGTGGCGATTGGTACAGATTGTCAATATGCTAAATACGGCTTATAAAATTTCAGTCTACATATCAACAATGAGATAATCCAAACTACTTCAAATTGAATTAAATCTTACACTCGTTGTAGAAGTAAGTGAATAACTGGATAATGAGATGGCGTTTGTGGTACTTGGTACTGAGTTCGAGTCCCAGGGTGAATACCAACTTTAGAATGTGGCAGGTTCATCTATGTTATTCACAAATCTTACCATTTTGTCAATGAAATAACGAATCGATATCATTGTTAGATTACTATCAGAAACCTGGAAGCATTGGGCGCTCGTTCCGTCCTAGTGGTGGACTCATCGGCGGTGTGTATCTGTTAGGATATTCATCCAATATCCTAAGAGAATTATCGGTCAATTCCCATTAGTTAATTCCGTCTCTTATTCTGGACTCGGACCTCGAAATTTCTTGATGCTTGTAGAATACACGTTCTACTTCACATTCAGATCTATCACTCGATGGGAGTTGAGATACTCGGATTAGAGTAGCCTGTCGTGTCGCCGGATCTTCGATCCTCGCTCTCGTTTTCCGACTAAGGCGAACTCGTAATAATTCAAGCATATCAAAGTGACATGTTTACGTTCATGCGTAACAGTATCCCTGAAACCCCGTACGCTGGGATCCAATCCAGAATGTTCAGTTTCGTGCGCGAATGCGTAACCTTTAAACTACTGAACCAGCATGCAACGGTGTTAATGTCTAAGGTTAATCAGTCCAAGGTATTGAACAACCTCATCCATCATCTTCTGTACCTCATTCGACAGTGTTGAACTCCACTGGATGAATCTTATATTAGGACGAAACAGCCATCCAGTGCTTTCACGTTTCTAATGATGCTCTAACAATGATCAATTCATGATTTCAATGAAACTGAACAATCTTTACAACTTTATTATGAACATCTTATCGATTTTATTTTATAATGCTTGCCAACATTTTGAGAAATCTATTCAACATCCACGCCTACTCACTTTTTGGTAAGTTATTCATGTCAGTCAGTCAGTTAGTCATCTACAACATAGAACTTCGTATGTATGTATGTATGTATGTACATCAGTTCAAGATGTCATAACCACATTACCAAACACACAGAGGTGGAATTGTCAATTCAAATCCGTAATAGGAAGTATTTAGCTGGTAATTGTGAGGATTAGGGATCGAAGAACTAATTCATTGTATTCAATATAAAATTATCTGATCTCTGATTTGTAAGTTACACAATTGCCTTTCTCATCTTACGCAAGTAAACACACAATTCATATCAAATTAACTCAACATGTAACGTCACGTTGCGTATAGTACAAACAATTCTAACTGCATACATAGTGTATATTGTTGGGGATGTTAGATCCCCAGAACTCGCTTGATAAATATCTTTATTCTGGATTTATTTCATGCACCTATCAGTTGACCTAGAGATTACATTTCTCACCAGATAAATCCTTGTCTGTGATTGGTTATTTTTGTGACTGTCCCAAGGACGTCTCTTTATAGAGTATAAATAAACGCAATTTGAGTGCTTGGGTTCATTGTGTACTGTCTGGGTGTTTGTAGAATACACTTTCTACGCTATATCGATACTTCTTGCTGATTTAATTTGGTCAAGGGATCACAGTAGCCTACATGGATGCTTGAGTCATGTTGGTAGATGTAGGCTACCTGGTTGCCGCCCGCAAGACGAAACTCACCAATGGTTAGAGACCTTGAACAACATGGCTCAAAATCGTTTGCAACGGCGCAAGTGCATACATTCGTTGTGCTCTCTCAAATCCTAATCTTCTGGCTTCGTCAGCACCTCTATCATCTCTTTCTAAATTTATTTTACTGAATTATACTTCTTGAATAATATCTTCAAACCCTACTCTTCTTCATTACCATTAATACCTCTACTATCTCTATCACTATGGGATTTGATTTGACATTTGCGTCTCTGTGCTAATGTGGTATGGCAACATGAACTGATGTACATACGTATGAAGTTCTACGTTGACTGACTGACTGACTGACCTGGACTCTGGTTCATTGGTTTGTTCTCGTTATTCAACTAAGGTGAACTCGTAATAGCTGAAGTATACCTAGAGATGAGTGTAACATAGATAATTTGAAACACAGCGCATTTCATCTTCAACTTAAAGCCCCTTGCTTTGAAGGTATGATTCAATTTGCATGCACAGAATTCATTGACATAGATCATAGTATCCTTTTTTGTGGTTGATTGGATGAGAATTTCTCAACTATATATACCCACACAGGCACACACACATACAAACACGCTCATAGATTGATATCTGAAAAGTAGAACAAGTCAACTTGTACAGAAAAAACAATACAGAGTGAGAGAGAAAATCTCATTTCCAAAATGATTACTTACTTCAATTGGTAAAACATCAGCAAATAGACAAATGAACCATTTAGTTGCAAGTAACGTACAATTAATACCGGAATTCATGATTAATTTATGTACTGCAGGAATTTTATTTCTGTATTTTATTTATATTTGAGAAAAAGAAACAAATGCATATATTTTATATGTCAATAAAAATCATTAGAATTTATTCAATGATCAATGCAATAGAAAAATAACAGTTTGTTTTAACACAATTGAAAGTAGTTTTTTGTTTTAAAAAAAGAGAGAAAATTTTTTTGATTCAGTAAAACAGAATGATGATGTATAATATCGGTCAATCATTAAGATTGATTTATATACATAAACTATTTGGCTTTTGTTGAGCAGCAGTTCCCTCTGTCCTACTTACTCTACATGTATGAAACACCACTGGTCGAGTGAGATCTTATGACGAACTGTCATCGGAATTCTTTACTTCAACTGGTGTCCGTCAGGGATGTGCACTTTCTCCATTCTTGTTTAATTCTGTCATAGACATGTTCTTAGAAATAACCTTATCCTCGTCTGAATTTTCAGTAGTAGACTTTCTACCAGGTGCCTCGCTTATTGACTTAGAATATGCCGATGACATTGTCCTACTTGGTGAAGATGCTGACAAAATGCAGAGTCTTCTGACTACCCTGAGTAACAATGTAAGCATGTTCGGGATGCGGTTTTACCCCTCCCCGAAATGTGAAATGTTACTTCAAGATTGGGTTTCATCTGCACCTGAACTAGTGATAGAGAGTGAAGTAGTCGAGTGTGTTGACCGCTTCACTTATCTCGAGAGTCTCATCAGTGCTGATAGCTTGGTGACTGACGAAAACTCAGCATGGATACAGAAGGTTCGGTTGGCTTTTGCCAACCTGAGTCACTTATGGCGCAGGCGACATATCCGTTTGCTGACTAAAGGACGAGTGTACTGTTCAGCAGTTCGCTCCGTTCTCCTATATGGCTGTGAAACATGGCCAGTGAGAGTAGAAGATATTCGTAGGTTACTGGTTTTCGATCATAGATGTTTAAGAAGCATTGCTGGTATATCCTGGGACACCCGAGTGAGCAACGCTGTTATTAGGAAACGGGTGCTAGGTAAGAATTGCAGATCAATAGATGAAGTAATGAAACTTCATCAGTTGAGGTGGTTGGGACATGTGTTGCGTATGCCTAACCACCGACTGCCTCGTCGAGCTATGTTTTGTGGTGTATGAATAGGTTGTACGAAAGCTAGGGGCGACCAAACCAAAACATGGCACAAATTCATGAAGTCACTGACAAGTGGACTGGGTGATGTCCGTAGGTGTCGAACACCTGGTTGTGGCCCGCAAAATGATATTAATCGATGGTTGAAGACCTTAAATAACATGGCTCAAAAACATTTACCATGGTGCAGGTAAATCCATTCTTTGTGTTCTCCCGAATTCTAAGCTTCTGAATTCTTCAGCGTCTTGATCTTTCTCGTTTTTAAGAAATTATTTCACTTAATTATACTTCTTGAATAGTTTATTCGAACCGTAATCTTCTTCATTATCACTAACACTTTTACTATATCTACCACCATTAGACTTGAATCGACAATTGCGTCTCTGTGTGCTAATGTGGTGTGGCAACGTGAACTGATGCGAGTACGTATGTACGTGCGTACGAAGTTCTACGATGTAGCTGACTAAGTACTATACTTCATTTCACAAATCGATCAATAAAAGCGGAGTAATTCTTCAGTAAATGGTAATGAGTGTGTACACCGGCTACAATGGGAATGCATCTCCTGATATCGCTCCACTACCTTGTGGCTCGGACCTCATAGTCAGAGGTTCGGAGTGTGGTCCCCTGAAGAAACTACAAGTTTTGGTTCGGGAACCCTAGCGGTTCCCCAGTTCACTTACAAATTCAAGAATTTATATGGCGTAAAAATACTTAGGTGCCTCATTGTATCAATGTTTATGTGTTTAAATCAATAAAAATATCAGTAAATCATATTTTCAATATTATCGTAACAGTAATATAACCGGAAAACATTAACTAGTCACTAAATTTACTAATGATATTTCTGTTCTACACACATTTATGAAACTTGGCTCTGTTAGGATATTCATCCAATATCCTAAGAGAATTATTGGTCAATTCGTATTAGTTAATTCCTACTGGCCAATTTTATGGTCGTCCTAGATGTCAATGTCACCTGCTCCAATATTGTTTCTTATTGGTTGTCCTGACTATCAATGTCACACACTTCGATGCTGTTTCCTATTCGACCAAAATGTATAAATACGCCTTATGTGTAATGTTTTATGACCAGGACCCGGTCGTGGATCCCTAGTCCGAGATGCTGATTCTCTTCTGGATTCGGACGTCGTACTTTCTGGATGCTCGTAGAATACACGTTCTACTTCACATTCAAGTCTTGTCTTATTTTTTACTCAATATGGGGGTTGGAATAATCGGATTTGAGTAGCATGTTGTGTCACCGGATCCTCGCTCTCGTTTTCCGACTCGTCATAGTTCAAGTATATCAAGTTGACGTGTTTATGTGCAAGCGTAACAAGCTCCTTCAAGGTCCAAAGAAAAGAGGTAGACCCCAATGGATACAATGCGCCGAGAATCGGCGATAGAAATGCACAGAATCAATAAGCGAAAATCGTAATGCACAATAAAAATGTTCTCAACGACTACTCACTTTAATAACTCATCAAATACCATACAATCAACACGTACAGCTAACATATCGGTTGAATAATATTTTGGTAAAATATAATTCATCAATGCATCTAATAACCAAAATGTTTGAATTTCTCTTTCATTCGCTGGAGAATTAAGAACAAGCAAAAGTACAGCTGCTATATAATTCATACCCTAAAAGAAAATGTGAAAAATAGAACAGTGGAGTAGTAATCGAAAAAATCATATAGGCATCATGTAAAAATAAAGTGTGAACATAATTCTTGAATGGATCTTTCAGCGAAAGTCACCAATGGTTAGAGACCTTGAACAATGACATGGCTCGTTCCGTTCTCTTATATGGCTGTGAAACATGGCCGTTAAGAGTAGAAGATGTTCGTAGGTTATTAGTATTCGATCATAGATGTTTAAGAAGCATTGCTCGTATATCGTGGGACAGCCGAGTAAGCAATGCTGTCGTTAGGAAACGAGTACTAGGTAAGGATGGCAAATCAATAGATGAAGTGGTGAAACTTCATCAGTTGCAGTGGTTGGGACATGTGTTGCGTATGCCTAACCACCGACTGCCTCGACGAGCTATGTTTTGTGGTGTAGGAGTAGGTTGAAGAAAGTTAGGGGCGGCCAGACCAAAACATGACAGAAATCCATGAAGTCACTGACAAGTGGACTGAGTCATGTTGGTAGATGTAGACTACCTGGTCGGGGTCCGCGAGACGAAAGTCACCAGTGGTTAGAGACCTTGAACGACATGTCTCAGAATTGTTTGCTATGGCGCAAGTGCATCTATTCGTTGTTTTACTCTCTCAAACCCTACTCTTCTGGATTCGTCAGCACCTCTACGCCTTTGTATTTCTAACCTTATCTCACTCACTGAATTATACTTCTTGAATCATATCTTCAAACCCTAGTGTTCTTTATTACCATTAATACCTCTACTATCTTTATCACTATGGGATCAGATTTGACATTTGCATCTCTGTGCTAATGTGGTATAGCAACATGAACTTGTGTACATACGTATGAAGTTCTACGTTGCAACTGACTGACTGACTGACTTTCAGCGATGCCCAAGTGACCTTGAGAACAGTCATACTACTTACTTGGGTCTCCAGGGCCGGCACGGGGTATGAGGGAGGAGGTTACTTCCCTGCTGCCCACACTGTCGGAAGGTGCTTCTTGAGGCACCTGAAAAGGAGATCGGATTAGCGTTGGTGGTAGATACCTGGGATCATGACCGTAGAGCCCATGGGACAACTGCTTGAGGCCGGTGACGCATAACCTTTTCATTGGAAGATTTTGGATTGTTAGCTTCGCTCTTCAGCTGGCTTTACCGACGGAGACAGAAATCCGTGAGGTAAGTTGAGGTGTGATATTTTTAGGGTGGACCTTTTCTAACCCCTTCTTTCGGTTGAGAGAAAGCAGGATTCCTGCATATGCTCGTTTCGCAGGGAAACACCTTACAGCTGTCACACCCCTCCATGACAGTCAGCAGTACGACTCCGCCCTCAGACGTTGAGTTATTGCTTTTAGTTTCACTGTTCTTCTATGGATCTTCCTAGCACGATAGAACCTGAACGAACATATTTTCCAGCTAATATAGCTCGCCTGAGTCATGACGATAGGTAAGCCCAACCAACACGTCAAGGTAGGAGCTACAGTCGGGACTTATATTAGGTTAGACAAGAGAGATATAAATTAGTATGAGAAATTACAAATACGATTTAGAGTTAGATATTAGGGATTAAAAATTTGAGTTTGAGGGATATTTTTTTGAGATCATAAATTGACACTAACTATAATGCCGAAATACTAGTTGCCTACTACTATATGGATAGATAAATTTCGATAGATAAATTTTAAATGTGATTGGTTCATGCAGCAATGATAGTCTGTCTATGATTCTAGTTAGTATGATAGCGGTTAAGTTAGATAGATAAAACATATGATCGATGCAAGATTTTATCATTTTGGAAAGATAGATTTCTATTCAAACTAAAATTCTAGATAGTAAAAACTTAAAAAAAAATATTATTACTTGACTATTGAGATTTTAAAATTAAGTTAAATCTTAGTAGCTTTTAGAAGTATCGAATCAAATCAAATAAAAACTAGGCTAACAGGGGTCTAGAAACAAGCAAATGGAAATTTCTAACATTCCTTGTTGTTTAAATTTATTGATAAACTAGAAGGGATTCATTTAAGAAAAAATGGTGATACGAACCCTATCTACAGAGTCAGTCAGTAACACTGTGGAACTTTGTACGTACGTACGTACAGACCATATTCGCACAGAGATGACGTTGTCAATCCGAATCCCATAGTCGTAGATTATGGTTTGAAGATATTGTTCAAGTAGTATAATCCAGTGAAATAAGTTTGAAAAGATTAAAAACGTCGTCTGAACCTAGTAACATGACTCAGTCCACTTGTCAGTGACTTCATGGACTTGTGTCATGTTTTAGTCTGGCCGCCCCTAGCTTTCTTCCAGTCTACACCTATAACAGACAACATCGCTTGTCGATGTAGTCGGTACTGAAGCATACTTTACAAAATACATAACGGTTCAGTGGGTTATCAGGACGAAAGATTAAACAAAACAAGGTCAAAACTAGCAAACAAAATTAACAACCTAAGTTCCCACAACACTTTATAGACTAACTAATTCAGGTCCAGGAACACGACTATTGTCGGACGTCTAAATGTGTGTCTGTGTTCCAGGACCTGTCGTAATGTGAAGATGTGGTCTATACAACCACGTCCAGGTCGAAAACCAGCCTGGTTTTCTCTAGTCTGCTCTTCACGAGCTCTAGTTAGACGTCTAAGTATAATGGAGGCTAACAATTTAGAAACTATATTAGTTAAAGTTATTCCCCTGTGATTGTCACAAGAGGACTTCTGTCCTTTCTTGTAGATTGGGACAATTAGCGACTGAGACCAGTCAGATGGGATTACGTCCATTTCCCAGATTCTACCTAGGATCTCGTTCAGTTTAACCGTTAAAACTGGACCACCATCCTTAAACATCTCAGGGGTAAGCCTATCGGGACCTGCCGCTCTACCTCTCCTTAGATTTCCTATAGCTTTCTCAACTTCATGTAAACTGGGAGGACTTAAATCGATTTGCCATTCAGGATGACTGGAGATCGTGGGTAACTGAAGTGTGGCTAAAGGCCAGTTGAACTGATCCCTAAAGTGTTCTGCCCATCGATCCAGTCTCCTGGATTGAGAATGGATAATAAGACCATCCTTTTCCGAGATAGTCTCACTTACATTCGGGTTCCTAATACCGGTTTCTTTGATAAGGCGGAAAAGTTGTCTAGTGTTGCCTATCGCCGCTGCCTTTTCCATCGCTTTTGCTTTCGCCACCCACCACTGTTAACGGTCATTACGTAGGCTTTTTATAAGTCCGCACCTAAGCTGACTACGCTCTTCATCATGTTCAGAGTCAGGTGGGATGCGTTTTCGAGCATCCATCAGTTCGGTGGATGCGACTGAAATCCACTGCTTCATCCTAGCATTGTGGTTTACCTTGCTAGCAGATACCATTGCTGTTTCCACAGCCTTCTTGATATGGTTCCAACCTGCTTCAGGATGGGAATCACTTGCATGGCCGCCTAACTGTTTTTCTAGTTCCTCCTGAAATATTTTCTTAGCTTGATTATCATCAAGTAAAGCCCTAAGAGGCTTCCTTACGGTGTCTTTCCTACGTCCAGCAAGCCTCAAACAAATACGTGCTCGCACTAGGGCATGATCTGAATCTAAACATGTGCCCCAGAACGAGCGACAGTCCTCTATCAAACCCCTCCATCGGTGGCTGATGGCGATATGATCTAGTTGTGTCCAACGTTGAGACGACTTCGGGGGTCGCCAGGTCAAAAGGTGTTTTTCTTTATGCTTAAAATTAGTGTTTGCTAGAAATAGTTGGTTATCTGAGCACAGTTGCAACAGACGGTCGCCATTGTCTGTTCTTTGAGCCGCGAGACCATAACATCCACCTAGGTGTCTTTCATTTTCACTCAGTCTACCTACTTGAGCATTGAAGTCACCAGCCATTATAACTATATCAGAGCGCTTAACTTTTTGGAGGAGGTCCGAAAGCTTTCTGTAAAACTCATCTTTTACATCATCTGGGCTGCAGTCAGTGGGGGCGTAGGCTGATATGACGAAGAGGCAACGGCGAGTGTCCCTATCTTTCCGAGTCCTTACTGTCCCGTTCAGTCGGACGGCGCACAAGCGACTATCTACAGGGATCCAGTCAAGGAGAGATTGTTCTGCCCTACGACTCAATGCTATACCTACACCGGCGAGGCCCCTAGAAGCAGCATCAGGGCTACCGGATACACGAAGGGTAAATCGAGCTGCTTCTTTATCTTGACATGGTGAGGTCAAATGAGTGATGCTACTCGGATCCTGTATGCGCGTTTCCGAGACGCAGTACACATCGATGGAACGAGATTCTAAAGTCCTAGCTAATGAAGCCTGTTGCCCTATTGGACACAATGTCCGTACATTGAATGCTCCAACATGTAGTTTGGAACGGGGTTTAAGGAGACCAGGAGCGACGTTTCGCAAACTCGCATCGTTTGCATTAGCTGTGCACTGTAATAAATGAATGTGAGAAGAGTTAGTTGTGTAGATAAGAGAGGTATTAGGGAATGTAGGAAGGATTTGATTTTGAACAATTCGGTCTCGCGTGCTGTTACGGGTATGAGGGCGGTTATCACTTCCCGGCTGCCCACACCGTGGAAGGTTGTTTCTTGACGAACCTGAAAACGAAGATGGATTAGTGTTGGTGCGTGACCGCAGAGTCCAAGGGACAACTGCTTGAGGCCGGTCACGCACGGCCTTTTTATGAGAGGTATTTAGAGGATTAGCTCCGTACTTAAAGGCCCTTAGAGGGCACCCTTACCCAAGGAGACGGAAATCCGTGAGGTAGGGGAGGTGTGACATTTTTAGGGCCGACCTTTTCTAACCCTTCCTTCCTTGTGAGAAGGCAGCATCGCTGCAGATGCTGGTTGTCCGAGGGAAACACCTTACTGCTGTTACACCCCTATGCAGTCAGCAGTACGACTTCACCCTCAGACCTTGGGTAGCTGCTTTTAGTCTCATCGTTCTCCAATCGACCTGCCTGGCATGGTAGGACCTGCAGGAACATGTGTTCCAGCCAGTATAGCTCGGTTGGGTCATCACGATAGGCAAGCCCGACCACCACGTCAAGGTAGCAGCTTCGGTCGGGCTCCTCATTCATCGGGGCTTGGGAACGGCAGTGGCCCCAAAGGGTCTCTCAGATCCCAAGCTTTTTAATTCCTCATCAATTTATCTTTTTCTTTTCAAGTTTATTTCACTAGATTTTACTTCTTGACTAATATCTTCTAGTCTGAACCTTTCCGACTACTGCTAATACCTTTGTTTTGTAGTGTAGGAGTAGGTTGGAAGAGAGTTACGGGCGGCCAGACCGAAACATGGCAGTAATCCATGAAGTCATTGACAAGTAGACTGAGTCATGTCGGTAGTTGTCGACTACCTGGTTGGGGTCCGGCTAAATGATAATAATCTATGGTTAGAGACTTTGAATGACATGGCTCAAAACCGTTTGCAATGGCGCCGGTGCATTTATGCTTTGTGTTCTCTCTAATCCTAACCTTCTGCGTTCTTCAACACCTCTAGTTTTGACTGACTGATTGATTGAGAGCATCATTAGAAACCTGGAAGCACTGGACGACCGTTTCGTCCCAGTATGGAACTCTTCAGTAATGAACATCTACGACCCCCGGTCGCCAGGATCTAACCCAGGGATCCCAGTCTCGCACGCGAACGCTTAACCTCTAGACTACTGAGCTAACATCCAATGGTATTAATTTTCTACTTTGATTCATCTAAGATTTCACGGAACCTTACCTACGGTATTTGATAATTACTGCCAACACCCGACAGGGTTGAACTCCACTGGTCACTAATGATTTATATTGATTGATTCAAGAATTTCATATATGTAAATAATTATTAAAGTACATATGTTAGAGTAAACTTTGATGAAAATCTAACTGAAAATAATCTTGGTTGAAGATACATGTATTCCAAAAATAATACTATCTGATTATCAAGTAGTCAGTCAGTCAGTCAGATGCAACGTAGAACTTCGTACGTACGTAAGTACATCAGTTCATGTTTCCATACCACATCAGCACAGAGATGTAATTGTCAATTCAAATCCAATAGTAGTAGAGGTAGTAAAGCTATTAGAAGTAATCGGAGAGGTTAGGATTAGAATATATTATTCAACAAGTATAATTCAGTGAGAAAAGTTTAGAAAGTCAGAACTAGAGGGGTCGAAGAATCCAGATTAGGATTTGAGAGAACACAAAGAATAAATGCACCGGCGCCATTGCAAACGGTTTTGAGCCACAACATTCAAAGTCTCTAACCATTGGTGACTTTCATCTCGCAGACCCCAACCAGGTAGTCGACAACTACCGACATGGCTAAGTCCACTTGTCAGTGACTTCATGGATTTCTGCCATGTTTTGGTTTGGCTGCCCCTCGCTTTCTTCCAACCTATTCCTACACTACAAAACAAAGCTCGTCGAGGTAGTCGATGATTATCAAGTAGACTGGACAAAGAGAATATGTTGCAAAGACAATGAAATCAATGAATAAAACGATGATGATTTCAAATGTGTAAAAAACGCTCATCTTCGTAACTGCAATTGAAAATATCGTAAAATATGCTCACTAGTGACTAGTTTCGTAAGGAAATTCTCAGAGTTCTAGTGAGAAGACGTGACCACCAGTGGAGTTCAACCCTATCAGGTGTAGGCACTAACTACCGAAGACAAATGGGTGAGGTCGCGCAAAATCCCTAGACCAATCAGAGTTGGGCATTAACACCGTTGGATGCTGGCCCAGTGGTCCAGAGGTTAGGCGTTCGCGCACAATACCGAAGTTCTCGAGTCGTGGATGCGCACTGCTGGTGAGTCTCATACCAGGACGGAACGAGCGTCTTTCAGTGCTTCCAGGTTTTTAATGGTGGTTTAACAATGATTGATTGATGATTTTAAATGAGTACAGAATAAAATGGCATTAAATATTATTTAAACGAAAAATTTAATTGAACAGTAAAAGGATGAATGTCATCTAAGGTATTCAACTACTGAGTCTGATCATCAAGTGAACTCTAATCAGGGAGTTTACCTACATACGCCTCTGATCAACAGTTACTGATTGATATCATGTCTGGTTGGAAGAATTCTAACCTCTTTTCAACCCTTTCCAACTTCAGTCAGAGCTATTTATTGTGGTAAGCGGTGGTTGGATAATATGTAATGCATATTTTATACACTTTCATCAATGAAGACCTATTACCTCATCAAATACTTCGACCTGTTTACCTAATACCTTATGTCTAGCATCAAAATGATTCACTCGGTTATACCACACACACACACACACACACACACACACACACACTAATTAATATGCATCACGGGGTTGTGAAGATTGTTAAGTTACACATTTTTGAAATCATGTATTGATCAATGTTAGACCACCATTGGAAACCTGGGAGAAGCACTGGTACACGACCGTTTCGTCCTGCGGGCTGCAGGGGTCGTGGACGCGCAGTGCTGAGGAGTCCCATACCAGGACGAAACGGCCGTCTAGTGCTTCCAGGTTTCTAATGGTGGTCTAACATTGATCAATTCATGGTTTCAAAAATGTGTAACTAATTAATATGTTGAAGGTATTTACAGTCAAATACTAGTAACTTAATCATACTCTCAACCTTCATATACCAATATCGGTCGGTATGCAGATACGTGTGACGTACATAAGTTTTTAATATAAAGTTGAACTAGTTTTAACAAATTAAACATTAGATGAGTATATGATAAATTTGCAGGTATAAGTAAACTAACTTGCTACTAAAATCTACAATCTACCCCGACCGAAGCAAATACCTTCATCATGTGGTGGTCGTGCTTGCCTATCGCCATGGCCCAAAAAAGCTATATTCGCTGAAACATATGTTTTTGTAGGCTCTACCATGTCAGGCAGGTCGATTGGAGAACGATGAGACTAAAAGCAGCTACTCAAGGTCTGAGGACGAAGTCGTACTGCTGACTGACTGTGGAGGGGTGCGACAGCAGTAAGGTGTTTACCTCGGACAACCAGCATCTGCAGCGATGCTGCCTTCACACAAGGAAGGAAGGGTTAGAAAAGGTCGACCCTAGAAATGTCACACCTCACCCTACCTCACGGATTTCCGACTCCGGTGGTAAGGGTGCCCAATAAGGGCTTTCAAGAGCGGAGCTAGTACTCAAAAAACTTTTAATAAAAAGTCCGTTCGTGACCGGCTTCAAGCAGTTGTCCCTTGGGCTCTGCGGTCACGCTCTCAAGTCTCTAAGACCGACACTAGTCTATTTTCCTTTTCAGGCTCCTCAAGAAACAACCTTCCACGGTGTGGGCAGCCGGGAAGTGACAACCACCCTCATACCCGTAACAGCACGCGAGACCGAATCGGTCATAATCAAATCCTTCTTACAATCTACAACAAACCTAAAAAATAAGATTTTATTGTTGTGGATCCCTTTTTTCCGGAATTAATCGATTTGACAAATGCAATATTTCATGATTTTTCATCGATGAAAAATACTCGAAATTTTACAGGCCAGACATAATTTTTAAAAAAAAAACATTGATTCGATTTGGTAGATTGGAAGATGAAGATTATCAGAAGCAAAACATAGACAGACAGACAGACAGACAGACAGACAGACAGATACAACGCAGAACTACGTACGTACGTACATCAGTTCAGGTTGCCAAACCACGTCAGCACACAGATGAAACTGTCAGTTCAAATCCAGGAGTGATAGCAATGATAGAAGTATTAGCAGTAATGGAGAGAAGATTAGGGAGCGAAGATATGATTCGAAAAGTATAATTCAGTAAGATAAATTTAGAAGGAGAAAGATAGCGATTATGAGGAATTCAGAAGATTAAAATTTCGCAGAACACAAACAGTGGATGCACCTGCGCCATGTCATTCAAGGTCTCTAACCATCGATTATTATCATCTCGAGGACCCCAACCAGGTAGTCTACATCTACCAACATGACTCAATCCACTTGTCAATGACTTCATGGATTTCTGCCATGTTCTGGTTTGGCCGCCGCCCCTAACTTTCTTTCAACCTAAATAAATAATTTGAAAGTATTCATTCACAAGTATACAAGAAAGAAACTTTTAAGAAAAAAAAAACTCAGACAATGAAAATCAATATTAACAAAACAATAAGCATACTTGACAATAACCAATATTTGGGAAATGTACTGCAAAAGCTGACAATACTCTTTTCAATGATACCAATCTACCATTAGAATTATCTGGATCTTGAAAATATTTATTTTCTGGAAAGGTACGAGGAACATCTGCAAAAAAATAATGTATATGTGGTGAAATAACGGGCTTTAAAAAAAGAGCGGAGCTAATACGCTAAAAAACTTCTCATAAAAAATGCCGTGCGTGACCGGCATCAAGCAGTTGTCCTTTGGGCTCTGCGGTCACTCTCCCAGGTCGTTAGGACCGATACTAATCTATCTTCGTTTTCAGATTCCTCAAGAAATACCCTTTCACGCACGGTGTGAGCAGTCGGGAAGTTACAATCGCCCTCACACCCGTAACAGCACGCGAAACCGAATACACGTTGGAGTATTGGATGTCCGAACATCGTGTCAAACAGAAAAACAGGCTTCCTTAGTTAGGACTTGAGAATTTTGCGCAATCGATGTATGCTGCGTCTCCGAAACGCGCATACAGGATAGACGTAGAAACACTAACTTGACTTTACCTAGTGAAGATAAACAACCAACTCGATTTACCCTTCGTGTATCTGGGAGCCCTGGTGCTACTCCCACTGGCCTCGCTAGTGTAGGTATAGCATTGAATCCTAAGAAAGAACTAGCTCTCTTAGACTGGATCCCAGTAGATAGTCACTTGTGCGCTGTCCGACTTAATGGGACAGTAAGGACTCGGAAAGATAGAGACACACGTCGTTGCCTCCGCCTACGCTCCCACTGACTGCAGCTCAGAAAAGGTGAAAGATGAGGTTTACAGAAAGCCTTCGGACCTCCTCAAAAATTTAAGCGCTCTGATATATATATATATATATATATATATATATATATATAATGGCTGGTGACTTCAATGCACAAGTAGGTAGACTAGGTGAAAAGGAAAGACATCTTGGTGGATGTTATGGTGTCCCGGCTCAAAGAACAGACAATGGCGACCGTCTGTTACAACTGTGCTCAGATAATCAGCTATTTCTAGCAAACACTAATTTTAAGCATAAGGAAAAGCATTTGTTGACCTGGCGACCTCCAAAGTCGTCTCAACGTTGGACCCAAGTAGATCACATCACCATCAGCCACCGATGGAGGGGTTCGATAGAGGACTGTCGCTCGTTCTGGGGCACATGTTTAGATTCAGATCATGCCCTAGTACGAGCCCGTATTTGTTTGAGGCTTACAGGGCGTAGGAATGACACCGTAAGTAAGCCTCTTAGGGTTTTACTTAATGATAATAAGGCGAAGAATATATTTCCGGAACAACTAGAAAGACAGTTAGGCGACCATTTAAGCGATTCCCATCCGGAAGCAGGATGGAATGATATCAAAAAGGCTGTGGAAACAACAGTGATATCTGCTAGTAAGGTTGACCATAAGGCTAGAATGAAACCGTGGATCTCAGTAGCATCCACCGATCTGATGGGTGCTCGAACACTCGTCCCGTCTGGCTCTGAAACATGATGAAGAGCGAATTCGGCTTAGGCGCAGACTTATAAAAAGCCTACGTAACAATCGCGAACAGTGGTGGGATGCGTAAGCAAAAGCGATGGAAAGGCAGCGGCGATAGGCAACACTAGACAACTTTTCCGATTTATTAAAGAAAACTGGTATTAAGAACCCGAATGTGAGTGAGACTGTCTCGGAAAACGATGGTCTTATTATCCAGTCTCAATCCAGGAGACTGGATCGATGGGCAGAACACTAGGGATCAGTTCAACTGGCCTTTAGCGCACACTTTCAATTACCCACGATCTCCAGTCATCCTGGATGGCAAGGTCGACGTAAGCCCTCAGAATCTTCATGAAGTTGAAAAAGTGACGGAGAGCAGCAGGGCCCGACAGATTGACCCCTGAGATTTTTAAAGGATCGTCGTCCAGTTTTAGCAGCTAGATTGACATGAGATCTTAGGTATAATCTGGGAACTGGGACGTAAATTACCATCTGACTGGTCCCAATCCTTGATTGTTCCAATTTATAAGAAAGGACAAATCACAGGAGAATAAGTCTAACTAATATAGTCTCCAAATTGTTAGCCTCGATTATACGTAGACGCTCAACTAGCGCTCGTGAAGAGCAGACTCGAGAAAACCAAGGCCGCTTTCAGAACTGGACTAACATGGTATAGACCAGATATTCACACACCACGTTAGGTTCTAGAATAAAGACTACACGTTTAGGCGCCCCACAAAAGTAGTATTTCTCGACCTTAAAGCGGCATTGCAATCTGTAGGGCTGTAAGAAAGCTAGGGGCGGCCAAACCAAAACATAACACAAGTCATTGACAACTAGATTGAACCACGTTTGTAGGTGTCGACTACCTGGTTGGGGTCTGCGAGATTATAGTAATCGATGGTTGGAGACTGAATAAAATGGCTCGAAATGGTTTGTGATGGCGCAGGTGCATCCACTCTTAGCTTTCTTTCGAATCCTAATCCTTTGGATTCTACATCACCTTTATCTTCCTCTTTTTAAGTTTATTTCATTATATCATACTTCTCGAATAATATCTTCGATCACCAAACTTTGTGATTACCGCTAATACTTCTACTATCTCTACTACTGTGGGATTTGAATTGACAGTTGCGTGTCTGTGCTGATGCGGCATGGAAAGCTGAACTGATGTACGTACGTACGAAGTTCTGCGTTGTATCTGTCTGTGTCTGTCTGTCATTGCATTTCCACAGGTACTATTAAGCCGTTTAGTTTGAATAAGATTCTTAGTTTTTAAATTATCATTTGGATTTTTAAAAACGAAGAAACTGTTCTTTCATACGATATCGATTTTTAAAGTTGTGCAGATATATTTATAGATCATTCTTCCTACGTAGAATAGTCTATGGCAAAATAGACAATTGTCACAAAATTATCAAAGATGGCCAGACTTATTGAAGTGAAAGTCATGCTTCTAGGTCACTAAGTCACTAAGTCATGAATACTGGTAACCTAAGAATATCTTTTGTTCTAAGTGGCGAAGTTTCACATCTTTAGGGTTGAACGGAGCGAACTGATGCGCAGTAGACTCGTTTTTGGCTAGTATTCGAATATCTCGCCTTCGCTATAAGTGACGCAAGTTGGCGAAAGCCAATCAAGCTTCTTCTAGCCGAACCGAGGTTGCGTTACACATCAGGCCATCAGCACCGATGAATTCCACGAAATAAGTCGACGGGTTGCTCGCTCCCTATCATAAATCATTGTAATGGATTATGTATGACATTGTAGTACTTGTGTATTCAATCAATAAATCAAGACAGCAACGTAGAACTTCATACGTACGGCATGTACATCAGTTCAAGTTGACATGCCACATTAGTACAGTAGATGTAATTGTTAATTCAAATCCCATAGTAGTAGAGGTATTAAAGGTGTTATGGAGTAATCAGAGAGATTAGGTTTGAAGATATTATTCAAGTATGGAATCTAGTGAATTAAAACTAAGTGATCTTGATACACTTCGTCCGATTGTATGGTTATCAATTCATAATGCTCGACAGTAAAGCCATGTGGCCATTATAATACAGGCAATATTCACAGTATTTAGGTTATAACTGGATAACAAGCGAAACGAATGCCTGCATTTTGTAACGAATGAATATAAAACTTGATATTTTTTCGGGAACATTTTACTTCGTTGTCACTGTATATTCGTGACACACTACAACAGAATGTATACGTGAAGAACTCTCTACCAAGAATTTTTAATAAAACACAATCGAAAAATCTATATGAAAGCGGATTGGAAATTTTTGGTAGATAAGCGAATCTCAAGTATTGTTAATGAAATAGTTCTTGAAATATTGGCGAACATACCAGCCAAAATAACATTCCATATGTTTTTTGAGGAGTTTTGGTAACCGCTATTTGATAGGCATCCGGATAGCTTTCATTCGTTCATAAGCTCCATGAAAGGTGCATTCCACACCATTGGCCTATGTGATCTGTGTATACCCTTCGGAGCCAAAACCTTTTGACTAAAACAATAAACGAGAATAAAAGAGACGTACATCTAGCACCTTTTTTAGGTGGGAAACTCAGAGAAATATTTTATCCCAACGAGAAAATATCTTCTCTGACGTACGGCCTCATAAGTCCGGACAAAGTCGGAATACTCCTCGGACTTTAACATATTCTGGGGATTTGAATCCTCGTATCTGGAAACTTTCTTACAGAAAGGGAACATGATACAAATTATGAATAAAACAAACTGTTCATCAATGGAACTCATGAAAAATAAGGACCATCAAGGTCACGACCTTAGTTCAAAGGAGCTTCTGTGAACTCACCTTGAAAAGAAGCAAGGATTAAGTTACCAAACAAAAATAGTCATCTTGAAACAGTAATGGAATTTTTTCATGTTTAGGAAGTAAAATGCTGCTAAAAGAAAGGCCTAAGTTTACTTTTTATGTCTAATTAGGTAGTGTAATAACAAAACGATATATCCTTCCCACAATGCTTTTCTCCATAATTTAGGTATGTCTGTGCATAACGGAGGCTATTTAGTAACGCAAAGTATATCGAACAGTTTAAACCCTAGTAATGAATTTTATTTGCAGAGCCAGATTGTATCATAACTGATCATTGTGGAACAATTAATTGAGTGGAACTCACAACTCCAAATGAACTTCATCGATTACGAGAAAGCATTTGATAATGTGGACAGGACAACACCATGGAGGCGTCTTCGACACTACAGCGTATTTGAGAAGAGAGTCAACATTAACAATGCACAGAGGACAGCTGGCAACCTTACTCAGGGTAAAGACCGGTTTTAGGCAGGGTTTCTTACTCCCAACCCTTTTTTCCTATTTATCGACTGAACTGTAGGGGAAGCATGGTATACTTTGAATAGCCAGGACGCAGCTGGACCATCTGGACAATGCAGATGATTTGGCTTTTCTATCGCACACTCAACAACAAATTCAAGAGAAGACGACCAGTTTAGCAGCAGCCTTAGCTGCAGTAGGTCACGACAGACACAAGGGGAAACGCAAGCTTCTTCGATACGCACAACAAGCACGATGAAAATCAAACTTGTCGGTGAAGCTTTGAAAGAAAAGCAAACGTTTACTTACGTGGGCAGCATCATTGACGAGCAAGTTGGATCTGATGCAGATGTCAAGTTGTGTATTAGGAAATCAAGGGCTGCATTTCTACAATTTGACAACATCAGGAACAAGAAACATTTATCAACCAACCTGCGATTAGGAATTTTCAATATAAACACTGTCATAATTTTTTTGTATGTAGCAGAAACTTCATCACACTATATATATATATATATATATATATATATATATATATATATATATATTGAAAACTGTGACTTTGATATTGGTTGACAGATACTTACTTTGATCTGCAGATGTTCTTCAGTTGTAGAAATACTGCCCTTGCTTTACCAATCAGTGAATTTACGTACTCATCAGATCCACATCGTACATAGATGATGCTATCCTGGTGTATAAAGGTTTTCACGTATTCCGAAGCTTTTCTGTCAAATGTATTTTGGTTGGTGCATATTGTGTTGTATTGGAGGATCACACTTTTTTCTTTGTATATTTTTAGACCTACTGCTAATAAGGCTGTCGCTACACTGGTCGTTCGCTCCTGAATCTGTTGTTATATGCGGTATAGAAAGCTAGGTAATCTACGAAGTTGCATTTCAACTATCCACTGTGCTTCCTCTGAGATGTTGATGTCTTTGTAGTCCAAGCAACCACCAGGGAAAGAGAAAATGTGGGAGTAAGCAACCTTGCTTCACATGGGTCTTCACTTAGAAAGAATATTTGAGCTGTCCTTCGTGTATAATGGAGTAGAGAGGTTCCAATTAAAGCAAAAAGACCTTTAAACATTGAAAGTTAAACAATATGAGATATGACTTATAAATAGATCAAGGAAGTATAAAATCTTAATCCATTTTGAAGCATTTGGCTAGTTCGTAACTATTTGACAAAAACTGTTATAGAAGCAAACTTTTTGTTGCTCTTCCGCGATATATTTCAGGTATGTAGAACAGTTGATCTAGATTTATTCGGCCAGTTAGGTCTAGACGTTTAGGAAATGCTTTTCTAAGGTTGTCGTAAGCTTCAAAATCATCATTAGTAAACATACCGACGGCAATCTTTTTCTTCTAACCCATGTTCTTGTTCCTTTACTTCAGCGAGGAGTTGCACACCTGTGTTTATTACGCGATGTTCGTGTCAGTTAGCCTCCGCATAGCGGAGCCAGGATTCGATGATGTCACGCCAGCATGGCACGAGTGGGAAGCTTGATAGTCCCAAAGTCCTAATCCTAATTAGGTCGCTTGTTTGTTCCGACATAAAAAGACTCGTATGTACGTAAAAATGAGGGGAAAAATTCTGAAAGCTAAAATAATATCACTTTTTGTAAGAATACATTGACTAATGCCGCTTACTATCAGTGGCAGACTATCAGTATTTTTTTATTGTACCAGGTCACATCCTGCTCATCATTGAAAATGTTACGGATATTCAGAGATGGACACTACCTTTTTCCGTAAAATTCTTCAGATCGACAATACCCCAAACCAAGTCAAACCAGATTTTAGGAATAAAGTGGATCAAAGGAGTGTTTGGTTTATGGTCGTGAGGTCGTGGGGACTTACTTACTTACTTTCGCCTGTTACCCCAAATGGAGCATAGGCCGCCCACCAGTTTTCCCCAACCAACTCTGTCATGGGCTTCCTTCTCCAGTTCTGTCCAATGTTTGTTCATTCCTCTCATATCTTTCTCTATTTCTCGGCGTAATGTATTCTTTGGCCTTCCTCTTTTCCTTTTGCCTTGAGGGTTCCATGTGAGGGCTTGTCTCGTGACGCAGTTAGGTGCTTTCCGCAATGTGTGTCCTATCCACTTCCACCGCTTCTTCCAGATTTCCTCCTCCACTGGAATCTGGTTTGTTCTCTACCACAGTTCGTGTTGCTGATGGTGTCTGGCCAACGAATACGAAGTATTTTACGTAGACAGCTGTTAATAAACACTTGTATCTTCTGGATGATGGCTTTGGTAGTTCTCCAAGTTTCCGCTCCATACATTAGAACTGTCTTGACATTTGTATTGAAAATCCTGATTTGGTGTTGATTGATATCTGTTTGGAGTTCCAGATATTTTTCAACTGTAGAAATGAAGCCCTTGCTTTGCCAATCCGTGCCCTCACATCTGCATCGGATCCACCGTGATTGTCGATGATGCTGCCCAGATATGTAAAGGTGTTAATATCCTCCAGGCATCTCCATCAAGAGTGATTTGGTTGGTGCATGTTGTGTTGCATCGGAGAATTTTGCTGTTTCCTTTATATATGTTGAGACCTACTGCTGCAGAGCTGCTGCTACACTGGTCGTCTTCTCTTGCATTTGTTGTTGAGTGTGCGATAGAAGAGGCAGATCATCTGCGAAGTCCAGATCGTCCAGCTGCGTCCTAACTGTCCAGTTGATACCGGCTTCGCACTTACAGATTTGCTGCACGACTACATAGTCCAGTGGATGACTCAGGAGATTGAAGTGACTACGTGAGCACGTGATCTCCACAGTGAGCACGTCTGTGAATCTGCTCTCCAACGAGACACCACCCCCTCGTGGCGGATGTGGCAGATGGTTGGCGGACAGATCAAGAGAAGATATTCCCGTGGTGCCACTGTCGCGATAGCCATGACTCACTTTGGCCTTTCTGCTGGTGATCGACTGGATTATGAAAACGTCAACATCTGGAGGGAAGCACGGTATCAACTGGACAGTTAGGACGCAGCTGGACGATCTGGACTTCGCAGATGATCTGCCTCTTCTATCGCACACTCAACAACAAATGCAAGAGAAGACGACCAGTGTAGCAGCAGCCTCTGCAGCAGTAGGTCTCAACATATATAAAGGAAAAAGCAAAATTCTCCGATGCAACACAACATGCACCAACCAAATCACTCTTGATGGAGATGCCTTGGAGGATATTAACACCTTTACATATCTGGGCAGCATCATCGACAATCACGGTGGATCCGATGCAGATGTGAGGGCACGGATTGGCAAAGCAAGGGCTTCATTTCTACAGTTGAAAAATATCTGGAACTCCAAACAGATATCAATCAACACCAAAATCAGGATTTTCAATACAAATGTCAAGACAGTTCTAATGTATGGAGCGGAAACTTGGAGAACTACCAAAGCCATCATCCAGAAGATACAAGTGTTTATTAACAGCTGTCTACGTAAAATACTTCGTATTCGTTGGCCAGACACCATCAGCAACAACGAACTGTGGGAGAGAACAAACCAGATTCCAGTGGAGGAGGAAATCAGGAAGAAGCGGTGGAAGTGGATAGGACACACATTGCGGAAAGCACCTAACTGCGTCACGAGACAAGCCCTCACATGGAACCCTCAAGGCAAAAGGAAAAGAGGAAGGCCAAAGAATACATTACGCCGAGAAATAGAGAAAGATATGAGAGGAATGAACAAACATTGGACAGAACTGGAGAAGGAAGCCCATGACAGAGTTGGTTGGGGAAAACTGGTGGGCGGCCTATGCTCCATTTGGGGTAACAGGCGAAAGTAAGTAAGTAAGTCCCCACGACCTCACGACCATAAACCAAACACTCCTTTGATCCACTTTATTCCTAAAATCTGGTTTGACTTGGTTTGGGGTATTGTCGATCTGAAGAATTTTACGGAAAAAGGTAGTGTCCATCTCTGAATATCCGTAACATTTTCAATGATGAGCAGGATGTGACCTGGTACAATAAAAAAATACTGATAGTCTGCCACTGATAGTAAGCGGCATTAGTCAATGTATTCTTACAAAAAGTGATATTATTTTAGCTTTCAGAATTTTTCCCCTCATTTTTACGTACATACGAGTCTTTTTATGTCGGAACAAACAAGCGACCTAATTAGGATTAGGACTTTGGGACTATCAAGCTTCCCACTCGTGCCATGCTGGCGTGACATCATCGAATCCTGGCTCCGCTATGCGGAGGCTAACTGACACGAACATCGCGTAATAAACACAGGTGTGCAACTCCTCGCTGAAGTAAAGGAACAAGAACATGGGTTAGAAGAAAAAGATTGCCGTCGGTATGTTTACTAATGATGATTTTGAAGCTTACGACAACCTTAGAAAAGCATTTCCTAAACGTCTAGACCTAACTGGCCGAATAAATCTAGATCAACTGTTCTACATACCTGAAATATATCGCGGAAGAGCAACAAAAAGTTTGCTTCTATAACAGTTTTTGTCAAATAGTTACGAACTAGCCAAATGCTTCAAAATGGATTAAGATTTTATACTTCCTTGATCTATTTATAAGTCATATCTCATATTGTTTAACTTTCAATGTTTAAAGGTCTTTTTGCTTTAATTGGAACCTCTCTACTCCATTATACACGAAGGACAGCTCAAATATTCTTTCTAAGTGAAGACCCATGTGAAGCAAGGTTGCTTACTCCCACATTTTCTCTTTCCCTGGTGGTTGCTTGGACTACAAAGACATCAACATCTCAGAGGAAGCACAGTGGATAGTTGAAATGCAACTTCGTAGATTACCTAGCTTTCTATACCGCATATAACAACAGATTCAGGAGCGAACGACCAGTGTAGCGACAGCCTTATTAGCAGTAGGTCTAAAAATATACAAAGAAAAAAGTGTGATCCTCCAATACAACACAATATGCACCAACCAAAATACATTTGACAGAAAAGCTTCGGAATACGTGAAAACCTTTATACACCAGGATAGCATCATCTATGTACGATGTGGATCTGATGAGTACGTAAATTCACTGATTGGTAAAGCAAGGGCAGTATTTCTACAACTGAAGAACATCTGCAGATCAAAGTAAGTATCTGTCAACAAATATCAAAGTCACAGTTTTCAATATATATATATATATATATATATATATATATATATATATATATATAGTGTGATGAAGTTTCTGCTACATACAAAAAAATTATGACAGTGTTTATATTGAAAATTCCTAATCGCAGGTTGGTTGATAAATGTTTCTTGTTCCTGATGTTGTCAAATTGTAGAAATGCAGCCCTTGATTTCCTAATACACAACTTGACATCTGCATCAGATCCAACTTGCTCGTCAATGATGCTGCCCACGTAAGTAAACGTTTGCTTTTCTTTCAAAGCTTCACCGACAAGTTTGATTTTCATCGTGCTTGTTGTGCGTATCGAAGAAGCTTGCGTTTCCCCTTGTGTCTGTCGTGACCTACTGCAGCTAAGGCTGCTGCTAAACTGGTCGTCTTCTCTTGAATTTGTTGTTGAGTGTGCGATAGAAAAGCCAAATCATCTGCATTGTCCAGATGGTCCAGCTGCGTCCTGGCTATTCAAAGTATACCATGCTTCCCCTACAGTTCAGTCGATAAATAGGAAAAAAGGGTTGGGAGTAAGAAACCCTGCCTAAAACCGGTCTTTACCCTGAGTAAGGTTGCCAGCTGTCCTCTGTGCATTGTTAATGTTGACTCTCTTCTCAAATACGCTGTAGTGTCGAAGACGCCTCCATGGTGTTGTCCTGTCCACATTATCAAATGCTTTCTCGTAATCGATGAAGTTCATTTGGAGTTGTGAGTTCCACTCAATTAATTGTTCCACAATGATCAGTTATGATACAATCTGGCTCTGCAAATAAAATTCATTACTAGGGTTTAAACTGTTCGATATACTTTGCGTTACTAAATAGCCTCCGTTATGCACAGACATACCTAAATTATGGAGAAAAGCATTGTGGGAAGGATATATCGTTTTGTTATTACACTACCTAATTAGACATAAAAAGTAAACTTAGGCCTTTCTTTTAGCAGCATTTTACTTCCTAAACATGAAAAAATTCCATTACTGTTTCAAGATGACTATTTTTGTTTGGTAACTTAATCCTTGCTTCTTTTCAAGGTGAGTTCACAGAAGCTCCTTTGAACTAAGGTCGTGACCTTGATGGTCCTTATTTTTCATGAGTTCCATTGATGAACAGTTTGTTTTATTCATAATTTGTATCATGTTCCTTTCTGTAGAAAGTTTCCAGATAGAGGATTCAAATCCCCAGAATATGTTAAAGTCGAGGAGTATTCCGACTTTGTCCGGACTTATGAGGCCGTACGTCAGAGAAGATTTTCTCGTTGGGAAAAATATTTCTCTGATTTCCCACCTAAAAAAGGTGCTAGATGTACGTCTCTTTTATTCTCGTTTATTGTTTTAGTCAAAAGGTTTTGCCGGAAGGGTATACCAGATCACATTAGGCCAATGGTGTGGATGCACCTTTCTGGAGCTTATGAACGAATGAAAGCTAATCCGGATGCCTATCAAATAGCGGTTACCAAAACTCCTCCAAAAAACATATGGAATGTTATTTTGGCTGGTATGTTCGCCAATATTTCAAAACTATTTCATTAACAATACTTGAGATTCGCTTATCTACCAAAAATTTCCAATCCGCTTTCATATAGATTTTTCGATTGTGTTTTATTAAAAATTCTTGGTATAGATTCTTCACAATGCATGCTTCGTATACATTCTGTTGTTAGTGGTCACGAATATACAGTGACACGAAGTAAAATGTTCCCGAAAAATATCAAGTTTTATATTCATTCGTTACAAAATGCAGGCATTCGTTTCGCTTGTTATCCAGTTATAACCTAAATACTGTGAATATTGCTGTATTATAATGGCCACATGGCTTTACTTTCGAGCATTATGAATTGATAACCATACAATCGGACGAATGTACAAGATCACTTAGTTTAATTCACTAGATTCTACTTGAATAATATCTTCAAACCCTAATCTCTCTGATTACTCCTAACACCTTTAATACCTCTACTACTATGGGATTTGAATTAACAATTACATCTCTGTACTAATGTGGCATGTCAACTTGAACTGATGTACATGCGTACGTATGAAGTTCTACGTTGCTGTTGATTTATTGATTGAATACACAAGTACACAATGTCATACATATCCATTACAATGATTTATGATAGGGAGCGAGGTAGTTGAGCCTCTCAACCCGTCGACTTATTTCGTGGAATTCATCGGTGCTGATGGCCTGATGTGTAACGCAACCTCGGTTCGGCTAGAAGAAGCTTGATTGGCTTTCGCCAACTTGCGTCACTTATAGCGAAGGCGAGATATTCGAATACTAGCCAAAAACGAGTCTACTGCGCATCAGTTCGCTCCGTTCAACCCTAAAGATGTGAAACTTCGCCACTTAGAACAAAAGATATTCTTAGGTTACCAGTATTCATGACTTAGTGACTTAGTGACCTAGAAGCATGACTTTCACTTCAATAAGTCTGGCCATCTTTGATAATTTTGTGACAATTGTCTATTTTGCCATAGACTATTCTACGTAGGAAGAATGATCTATAAATATATCTGCACAACTTTAAAAATCGATATCGTATGAAAGAACAGTTTCTTCGTTTTTAAAAATCCAAATGATAATTTAAAAACTAAGAATCTTATTCAAACTAAACGGCTTAATAGTACCTGTGGAAATGCAATGACAGACAGACACAGACAGATACAACGCAGAACTTCGTACGTACGTACATCAGTTCAGCTTTCCATGCCGCATCAGCACAGACACGCAACTGTCAATTCAAATCCCACAGTAGTAGAGATAGTAGAAGTATTAGCGGTAATCACAAAGTTTGGTGATCGAAGATATTATTCGAGAAGTATGATATAATGAAATAAACTTAAAAAGAGGAAGATAAAGGTGATGTAGAATCCAAAGGATTAGGATTCGAAAGAAAGCTAAGAGTGGATGCACCTGCGCCATCACAAACCATTTCGAGCCATTTTATTCAGTCTCCAACCATCGATTACTATAATCTCGCAGACCCCAACCAGGTAGTCGACACCTACAAACGTGGTTCAATCTAGTTGTCAATGACTTGTGTTATGTTTTGGTTTGGCCGCCCCTAGCTTTCTTACAGCCCTACAGATTGCAATGCCGCTTTAAGGTCGAGAAATACTACTTTTGTGGGGCGCCTAAACGTGTGTCTTTATTCTAGAACCTAACGTGGTGTGAATATCTGGTCTATACAGTTAGTCCAGGTCTGAAAGCGGCCTGGTTTTCTCGAGTCTGCTCTTCACGAGCGCTAGTTGAGCGTCTACGTATAATCGAGGCTAACAATTTGGAGACTATATTAGTTAGACTTATTCTCCTGTGATTGTCCTTTCTTATAAATTGGAACAATCAAGGATTGGGACCAGTCAGATGGTATTACGTCCAGTTCCCAGATTATACCTAAGATCTCAGTCAATCTAGCTGCTAAAACTGGACGACGATCCTTAAAAATCTCAGGGGTCAATCTGTCGGGCCCTGCTGCTCTCCGTCACTTTTTCAACTTCATGAAGATTCTGAGGGCTTACGTCGACCTTGCCATCCAGGATGACTGGAGATCGTGGGTAATTGAAGTGTGGCTAAAGGCCAGTTGAACTGATCCCTAGTGTTCTGCCCATCGATCCAGTCTCCTGGATTGAGACTGAATAATAAGACCATCGTTTTCCGAGACAGTCTCACTCACATTCGGGTTCTTAATACCAGTTTCTTTAATAAAGCGGAAAAGTTGTCTAGTGTTGCCTATCGCCGCTGCCTTTTCCATCGCTTTTGCTTTCGCAACCCACCACTGTTCGCGATTGTTACGTAGGCTTTTTATAAGTCTGCGCCTAAGCCGAATTCGCTCTTCATCATGTTCAGAGCCAGACGGGACGAGTGTTCGAGCACCCATCAGATCGGTGGATGCTACTGAGATCCACGGTTTCATTCTAGCCTTATGGTCAACCTTACTAGCAGATATCACTGTTGTTTCCACAGCCTTTTTGATATCATTCCATCCTGCTTCCGGATGGGAATCGCTTAAATGGTCGCCTAACTGTCTTTCTAGTTGTTCCGGAAATATATTCTTCGCCTTATTATCATTAAGTAAAACCCTAAGAGGCTTACTTACGGTGTCATTCCTACGCCCTGTAAGCCTCAAACAAATACGGGCTCGTACTAGGGCATGATCTGAATCTAAACATGTGCCCCAGAACGAGCGACAGTCCTCTATCGAACCCCTCCATCGGTGGCTGATGGTGATGTGATCTACTTGGGTCCAACGTTGAGACGACTTTGGAGGTCGCCAGGTCAACAAATGCTTTTCCTTATGCTTAAAATTAGTGTTTGCTAGAAATAGCTGATTATCTGAGCACAGTTGTAACAGACGGTCGCCATTGTCTGTTCTTTGAGCCGGGACACCATAACATCCACCAAGATGTCTTTCCTTTTCACCTAGTCTACCTACTTGTGCATTGAAGTCACCAGCCATTATATATATATATATATATATATATATATATATATCAGAGCGCTTAAATTTTTGAGGAGGTCCGAAGGCTTTCTGTAAACCTCATCTTTCACCTTTTCTGAGCTGCAGTCAGTGGGAGCGTAGGCGGAGGCAACGACGTGTGTCTCTATCTTTCCGAGTCCTTACTGTCCCATTAAGTCGGACAGCGCACAAGTGACTATCTACTGGGATCCAGTCTAAGAGAGCTAGTTCTTTCTTAGGATTCAATGCTATACCTACACTAGCGAGGCCAGTGGGAGTAGCACCAGGGCTCCCAGATACACGAAGGGTAAATCGAGTTGGTTGTTTATCTTCACTAGGTAAAGTCAAGTTAGTGTTTCTACGTCTATCCTGTATGCGCGTTTCGGAGACGCAGCATACATCGATTGCGCAAAATTCTCAAGTCCTAACTAAGGAAGCCTGTTTTTCTGTTTGACACGATGTTCGGACATCCAATACTCCAACGTGTATTCGGTTTCGCGTGCTGTTACGGGTGTGAGGGCGATTGTAACTTCCCGACTGCTCACACCGTGCGTGAAAGGGTATTTCTTGAGGAATCTGAAAACGAAGATAGATTAGTATCGGTCCTAACGACCTGGGAGAGTGACCGCAGAGCCCAAAGGACAACTGCTTGATGCCGGTCACGCACGGCATTTTTTATGAGAAGTTTTTTAGCGTATTAGCTCCGCTCTTTTTTTAAAGCCCGTTATTTCACCACATATACATTATTTTTTTGCAGATGTTCCTCGTACCTTTCCAGAAAATAAATATTTTCAAGATCCAGATAATTCTAATGGTAGATTGGTATCATTGAAAAGAGTATTGTCAGCTTTTGCAGTACATTTCCCAAATATTGGTTATTGTCAAGTATGCTTATTGTTTTGTTAATATTGATTTTCATTGTCTGAGTTTTTTTTTTCTTAAAAGTTTCTTTCTTGTATACTTGTGAATGAATACTTTCAAATTATTTATTTAGGTTGAAAGAAAGTTAGGGGCGGCGGCCAAACCAGAACATGGCAGAAATCCATGAAGTCATTGACAAGTGGATTGAGTCATGTTGGTAGATGTAGACTACCTGGTTGGGGTCCTCGAGATGATAATAATCGATGGTTAGAGACCTTGAATGACATGGCGCAGGTGCATCCACTGTTTGTGTTCTGCGAAATTTTAATCTTCTGAATTCCTCATAATCGCTATCTTTCTCCTTCTAAATTTATCTTACTGAATTATACTTTTCGAATCATATCTTCGCTCCCTAATCTTCTCTCCATTACTGCTAATACTTCTATCATTGCTATCACTCCTGGATTTGAACTGACAGTTTCATCTGTGTGCTGACGTGGTTTGGCAACCTGAACTGATGTACGTACGTACGTAGTTCTGCGTTGTATCTGTCTGTCTGTCTGTCTGTCTGTCTGTCTGTCTATGTTTTGCTTCTGATAATCTTCATCTTCCAATCTACCAAATCGAATCAATGTTTTTTTTTTAAAAATTATGTCTGGCCTGTAAAATTTCGAGTATTTTTCATCGATGAAAAATCATGAAATATTGCATTTGTCAAATCGATTAATTCCGGAAAAAAGGGATCCACAACAATAAAATCTTATTTTTTAGGTTTGTTGTAGATTGTAAGAAGGATTTGATTATGACCGATTCGGTCTCGCGTGCTGTTACGGGTATGAGGGTGGTTGTCACTTCCCGGCTGCCCACACCGTGGAAGGTTGTTTCCTGAGGAGCCTGAAAAGGAAAATAGATTAGTGTCGGTCTTAGAGACCTGAGAGCATGACTGCAGAGCTCAAGGCACAACTTCTTGAGGCCGGTCACGCACGGCCTTTTTATGAAAGGTTTTTAGAGTACTAGCTCCGCTCTTGAAAGCCCTTATTGAGCAGCCCTTACCGCCGAGTCGGAAATCCGTCAGGTAAGGTGAGGTGTGACATTTCTAGGGTCGACCTTTTCTAACCCTTCCTTCCTTGTGTGAAGGCAGCATCGCTGCAGATGCTGGTTGTCCGAGGTAAACACCTTACTGCTGTCGCACCCCTCCACAGTCAGTCAGCAGTACGACTTCGTCCTCAGACCTTGAGTAGCTGCTTTTAGTCTCATCGTTCTCCAATCG